CTAAGGCAGGACTAGAATTCCCAAGTCTCCTGGTGATTGGCCCGAAGTCACCCAGCCAGCTTTCATAGCTAAGACAGGACTAGAATTCCCAAGTCGCCTGGTGATTGGCCCAAAGTCCCCCAGCTGGCTTTCCTACCTAAGGTGGAACTAGAACTCACCATCTCCTGATGATTGGCCCAAAGTCCCCCAGCTGGCTTTCATGCCTAAGGCAGGACTAGAACTCCCGTCTCCCGGTGATTGGCCCAAAGTCACCCAGCAATCATTGACCTGCTAATAGGACCTTGAGAAACCTGGGCGTTTGAAGGACCTCAAGCAGCCCTGAGGAAGGTGTAGCTTGGCGTTCCCAGATGGTCCTTTGACTTTCAAAGGAGTAAGTCCTTTGGAGGAACAGCTTTCAGAGGACGGAGGAAGGGAGGTGGGAAGCATCCAAGGAGGACCTCCGTCGCTTCCTGCCCCACAGCTGGGGGGCTGTCTCTCCTACCCCTGACATGGCTGCTCCTCTCCAAACCTTCTCCTTGTTTAGGGCTGTTGTATCTTAGCCGCCACCTACGACAACGCTGCCCAGTTGTGGAAGGTCGAGGACCGCAAAATTAAGGTGAGTCCCCCTGGGGTGGGTTTCCTGGGTGGGCTTGCCTGGAGGGCGAAACCCCCCAACCCTCCTTGGCTAAAATTTGGCACAGCGGATCAGAGGGGGTTGCGTGTCGGAGTAAAATGGCCAAAGCAGGACCGGGAGTTCAGAAGGAGGCGGGAATTACGTTGGATGGAAATAGCTTTGGCAAGTTAGATTAGGGTGTGTTTGTTTTCCTCCATCCTCCTCCTAGCCCAGGGGTGGGCAACCTGGGCTCTTTTATGACTCGTGGACTTCAACTCCCAGAATTCCTGAGCCAGCCAGGCTGAGGGAAAAGGGAGAGTTTCCAAGCTGAGCCATGCTGGCTCAGGAATTCTGGGAGTTGAAGTCCACCAGTCATAAAAGGGCCATAGTTCCCCCATGCTGGCTGAGGAATTCTGGGAGTTGAAGTCCACAAGTCATGAAGGGGCCATAGTTCCCCCATGCTGGCTGAGGAATTCTGGGAGTAGAAGTCCACGAGTCATGAAGGGGCCAAAGTTCCCCCATGCTGGCTCAGGAATTCTGGGAGTTGAAGTCCACGAGTCAT